GCTTGATTTTGATAACCGGCTCTCTACAGAGGTAATTACGGAGCTGCAACAAGCTGGAAAGAAAATTTCAGACCTTTGTGAACTGGGAATTCCATTAAAAGGAAGCTTTAGTTTTAGTTTTATTATGATCTTCATCTTCTTCAACCTCAAGTGAATGAACTTGTAAGTAAAGTGTTGGTTTTTAAATAGAAGAAAATGGTTTTAGCTTTGATTCTGTGATTACAATGATTGAATCAGATATAGTGTCTTTGCCTCTTTGATTGTCATTTGGTAGTAGATGCTCAAGTATAGTCATTAATACTTTGATTAATTTTAGAGTTTGAGTTTCACTTAAACTGTGAGTTATTATTATATTGTGATCACTGCGTTATAATTCGATCGTAAGTTAAGATCCAATTAAGATTTACATAAGATTTTATAAATTGTACATCAAGAGTGACGGTCGTGGAATTCAAACTTAGCCTTACAAACTCAAATTCTTGAATCTCAACCACTTATACCAACATTAGTTGGCAGGGTTTTAAAATATTATTACGACAGTGTTTTCATCCTAATTCTAATCGGTAAATGACACTAAGGGTGTCTTTGGTTCACGGAATATAAGATTACCAGCGGAAATAGGATTATCGGCGGGAATAAAATTACTGGAAATGATGTATTTTGTGTTTTGTTCGTTTAGCAGGAATGTAAGATTACAGTGTTTAATTCGTTTAGCAGGAATGTAAGACTATATTGTTTGGTTAATAGAATAAAATATTATTGAAATGTATATTTTACCAAATTATCCTTATTATATATTTGTTTTTTAACAAGTTGAATTGTACTATAATTAATTTATATATTTTATTTAAAAAATTTAAATTCATAAAATTTATATAATTTTTTTACAAAATTAAAAAGATAAATAGATTTAATAGAAGAGTAAAATTTTATTTTAACTCTTTAACTTCATATAAAATTCTAATTATGGATTTTTTTTTATAAATCTAAAATAGTTTAAGGATAAATTTGTAATTTAACCTTCTTAGAATTTTTTATTCAACGAATGATATTTTTGAAAAAAATTTAGGATATTTTAGTCTAAAACGTCGATAATCCAATAATATCTAAGGAAAGAGAGTAATTACATTTCCGGTAATATACCTCCAAATTACCATTGCTAGGAATAAAAAATTACCGATGACTGAAAATGTTTGCCAACTAAACGGGAGGATGACATTTCATTTCCCTCATAATATGAGATGACTTAAACTAAACACCCCTAAGAATATTATTAAATTGAACATTTTTATTTTGAGCTTTTCTTTTACGTGTCAGATTAAAGTATCGTTTATTTAATGGTTCAATTACATGTCATCCACAACACATCATTCACGTGCCACATAAAAAAATTGGGCTTATTAGTATTATTATTTTTATCTATTTACTTCAATGACTCGACTGATTTGCTATTGATTTTGCTTTGAACGATGCTCATTAACAATAGCCACAGCTTGGTTGTTCGATTAACTACTTTTTTTTTTGTTGGGTGATGATGTCAACTTTAAAATATTTTATGTTTATCTTAAATTTTAATTTTTTTAATTAATTATTTATTTTTATGGATAGTACTCATCCTGAAATTTTATTTATACATATTTTCATTTAAAATTTTATATAATTAATATATGTATCCAACTAAAAAAATATTTTTAAATATCTACCTCTTATTAAGTTATTTTAAAATGATGGTGAATATGGAACCCACACAACACAACGCCACGCCGGCCCTTGGTTTCGGATTGTACACCAAACTCCGGTCAAAGAGAAACTAAAACTAACGAAAATAAGGACTTAACATTTCCGCGAGAAAAGAAAACTTGTTAAATTTCCGACCTGCCGGATTCGAACCAGCGACCTAAGGATTTCAGCAATTACAAACTACAGTCCTCCGCTCTACCAACTGAGCTAAGGTCGGATTTTGATATGACATTAAAATTATAAAACTTTAATCAATATATAATAGTTTTTAATCGAGTCTGCAACAAAAGTTTCTTATCTGTACGAGTCTGAAACAAAATTTTCTTGTATGTAATCATGCAATTTCTTTAGTTAAGTGGATTGAGTCACTATATTTTTTTAAGATTGAAATTTTAAAAAGTATCTCTTACGATAATTTTTTTTGTAAAATTTAATTTGAATTGATCGATTAATAAATTAGATAGTAGTAGTTAATAGAGATGGGTATGAGATCCGAACTCGATGGGTTTCGACCCGACCCGATCAGGTTGGATCGGATTTTTTTAAAGAATCTGGGTTGGGTCGGGGTTTTTTAATGTGATGTTCGGGTCGGTCGGTTTCAGGTTTATGATGAAAAATACCCGACCCGACCTAAAAAATATATATAATTTTACCTTAAATATTTAGGAATAATTATAATAATATCTCTCAATATATTTTTTTCAATTAAATCATTGTTTTTATTGAATAAAAGTATTTTTTTAATATTTTGGGTTGGTTGAGTCGATTTTTAAGTTATATATCATGTCGGATGAAAACTTGTTTTGATCTGGTCGGATCAGATCGGATTTCGAGTGGAGGATTCCTTATTCTAAGGTTGGGTCGGGTGTTTCAAAAACCCGACCCAACTTAACTCATGCCCATCCTAGTAGTTAATTCAAAAAATAAGATATATGCAAATCTCATGAATTTAAATCAATTAAAAATTCAATTGCACACGTGGGCCAAATTTAGCCCTTGGGACAAGTAATTGGTCAGCCACATGGATGAAGCTCAGCACCATAGTAGAGTGACTGATTATCGAGATGGCTAGCAGCTCAGCACCATAGTGTTTTATATGTTTAAACCATTTTATTTAGGGTAAACTACTTCATTAGTCACTAACTTTAAGCGTTATATCATTTAGGTTACTAAACTATAAAGTTTTAATATGTCACTAAAATCTTTGGATTAACTTTTCATCATTAAATCATTTAAAGTGTACACGAATCAAGTGATTTCTGTGATAAAAGAAATTGATGTGAGAATCTGGAACCAGATTCTTAGGTGGCGTTTGGTTCGTTGGAATGTTTATGAGGGAATTGAAATCTGTCAGGAATTGAAATCCAATTCCATATTCAGTTTGGTTGGCAGGAAATAGAATTGGAATCCAATTCCATATTCTGTTTGGTTCGCAGACATGTCAGATGAATTTGATTTCAGTAATGTAAAATGACAGAATTGCTCTTCTTGTTTTTTTGTTTTATTTTAGTTTGTTTTACAACTTACATGTAGTAATATATTATAAAAAATTATTAAATTTTCATTTTATTGATTGATTATTCATTTTAATAAATTATAAAAATCATGGTAATAAACATCATAAGTTAAAATCATCGCAATCAAAATATGTTAATAAATTACCAAAAGATAGAGCAATATTTCAATACATTCCAATCGGAGTATGTTAATTAGTTACCAAAAACTATTTTTATTCAATATATGAATTAGAAACCCAACCCGACACGACACAAAATAATTAAAAAAATATTTTTATTCAATAAAAACATTGACTTAATTGAAAAAAAATTATATATAGAGGGGTATTATTGTAATTATTCTTAAATATATAAGGTAAAATTATATATATTTTTCGGGTCGGTCCGGTTTTTTTCACCCTAAACCCGAACCCGACCCGACATGAATATCACACTTAAAAAAACCCGACCCGACTCGACCCAAATATCACACTTAAAAAACCCGACCCGAACCGAATATTTGAATTAGAAATCTGACCCGACCCGAAATAATAAAAAAAATATTTTTATTCAATAAAAACAATGACTTAATTGAAAAAATATATATATAGAGGGGTATTATTGTAATTATTCCTAAATATATAAAGTAAAATTATATATATTTTCGGGTCGGGTATTTTTCACTCTAAACCCGAACTCGACCCGACCCGAATATCACATTTAAAAAAACGACCCGACCCGACCTGAAATAATAAAAAAAGTATTTTTATTCATTATATGAATAAGTTACCAAAAGATTGATGAGGGTAGTATGGTCAAATTTCAATTCCCTCCAACAAGAGAATTGAATTCCATCCATTCTCTGATGGAATTCACTTTCCATCGTTTGATGAAAAGTTGAAGTCATGAGAGATTCCAATTCCCTTGGAAAACTTGAACCAAACATGAGAAAGTAGTGAAATTGGATTCCAATTCCCCCAATTCCAAGTGATTCCATCCAACCAAACACCACCTTAGTGTACACTTTTTGTCATTAAATCATTTAAAGTTTACACAAACCAAGATGTTATGAGTATAAGCGTTCAATATCAAAAAATTAAAAATTATCTTTAAACATATATTATTTTATACTTTTCCTATTAATAAACTAAATAAATAAATAAATAAAGTGCAATTATATTATCTCATAAAAATAAATTATTTTGGTGGATCATATCAGTCATTGTTTATTATTTGACATGATATTAGTACATTTATATTTTTTTATTTATTTATTTAATATCTCATAAAATTTATATAAAATCGATGAGAATCTATTAAAATTTTGATCTTTTAATGAATATTACGATCATTCGATGATTTTAATTTTGAGATATATTATTTGTTTTTTCGAGAAAAAAAACTTTTTACCCTTATTAATCTATTAACAACGTTTGTATACTCAAATCCGACTCATGTTCATCTTTAATTATCGCTTTTGGATCAAGCTAGAAACAAAAAGACACATTAACATGGTCCCAATCTAATTACTTATTGAATTGCAAGTTTTTAAAACCAATCAAAAGAACAAAGCACATTTAATAACTCGTTGATTAATGAACAACATCAGCAAGAAGGATTGATGTTTCGATCTATACACAGAAAAAACTTATGAAAGAAGAGAAATACCATGATGACCTGTCTGCCAAGTCCATAACAATAATTACATGTTCATATGCATCATCATCATCAATTTCATGAATTGTTTTCACTCACATTAACACTGGAACCATATACCCCCACCCCCATGTGATTCTGATATGATCCGATTCATCTCTTTCATGGAACCCAACTGTAGAAGTTCCTTCATCTCTTCTTCCTTTTAACCTTACCATTACAGAAGAGAGAACCCAACCCGAAAAAGTTTACGGTCACGTTCGAAATGATCGGATGCGGAAGATTCAAAACAGGGCTGACTCGAACACCGGTACTCCCTTGTGCTCCACAGCTCTTCTTTAATGGCGGCCTTTGTGTCGAGTTACCGTAACTGTAATAATACGTCCTCGACGCCGATGATTTTCTCGACAAAGATGGCTGCTTCAGGGAAGTGTGTTTTTGTTGGGTTTCTTTCGGAATCGGAGCCGAACCGGTGGAATTGCTGCGCGTGAGGAATTGGAGTGATCGGATCAGGCTTTTGCTCCGAGTGCTCTCGCAGTTGAGGCTGCTGCTTCTCTTGAACTGCCAGAAAGATATTGCTGCGGACTTGTTGTCCGCGGCGTCGATGCTCATCGATAGGAATTCTTTCAACCTTTTGATCTTCCCCGAGTTGTCCGTCGGGAAACTAACCGCAACCGTCTCCGGTTGACGATGAACTTGTCTCGGGACGAAAGGTTTTCGCTTGACTTCGATCGGTAGAATCTTGCCATCGGAGAAGAGCTCATCGGCGGAGGGTAGTTCTTGAACGAAACTAGTATTATTGAAGCAGAAATCGAAATCCGACGATGAATTCAGCAGCGATGTGTCTAATCTCTGATGGTGGCATTCTTCAACGGAGTCTGCGCCGTCGAGATCATCGGAAAACGAGATCCTTGGGCTTGAAATCTCTGACAAAACTTCAATGGCCATAGCTCGGCACCGTTAGCTCAGCCATAGAAACATGTTTCGGGGTATATTGCAACAATGGCGAACGGTAGGTGAAATCTTTATTATTTGGACAGAATATTACTTGGATCAGATCTACGTGTATATATAATATATAAATAATTATTGTCAAAAAATAATATATAAATAATTAAGATAATGCCATATATAGGCAAATTATTAAAATAACAGTAATATATAAGTATCATATAATTCAGTTTAATTGTATTGGCAATTGAATTTTAATTTATCACATCAAACAACTGCGGGATTAACCCCTTAAAATTTAAAATTAAAGAATTATTATTATTTTTTAAGATTTTAATTTTGAGTATCATATATCAAAGATATAAATATTTAATGTTAAATAATTGAGAATAATTTTTATTATCTTGTATTTATTTTAAATTAAATATATATATATATATATATCAGTAAAATAAAATATTTTATATATTTATTTCTCTCTCTATTTCCACCCATTTAAAGCCAAATCTAAGCAAGCCACAAGTTGAGTACAGCAAACTGGCTGACCTGATTACGATAAGCCAGGTTGGTTTGACACAAGATGAAACTCGTGCCAGATTTGGCTTTTTTTTTTCAACCCAATTGACCTCTACTACCGTCAGATCCAACCTTCATTGCCTTATACAAATGAAAATTGCTTTTTAATTTTAAAAAACTTTTGGGAAACTTACTATATCTAAACTATCGGTTTTGATCTATTTTGGTGTCTAAGCTTTTAATATTTTTAAAATTATATTTAACGTTTAGTTTTGTTTATTTTAGTATCTCGTCGTTAAAAACTTGATGGATGGGATGCCGGGGCATAGCTTCAGTGGACGAACGATCAATCTGAATGGTAAACCATGAGAGAATAATGAGCCGACCAACATAGTCCAATTCAAGCCCATCGACGGTTGATGACGAAGATCAAAGGAGGAAAAAGTCAAAGAGTTCATCGTCGATTTGGGGGAGAATGAGGCATTTCCCTACGAAACAGAAGTTGAAATCACATTCAGATGGTCGAAAAGCTGCAGGTTGAAAAGTTTGTGTTTTATCGACCGACTGATACGATAGAAGACAACTATAGACAAAGTGGCTGACAAGTCATTCTGTTAAGTTTTTATAACATGATACTAAAATAAAACAAAAATTAAATGTTAGGTATGATTTTTGATTTTTTTTTGAAAATTTATATACTAAAATGGACTAAAACTACTAGTTTTGGTACTAAAACTTCACTTTGTTGAAGTCAATTGGAAGGCAATTATATGGAATTTCAATCAATTTTTTTCAAGAAAAAGAGCTTTCAAGGTGTCCAATTGGTAGAAACAACATGTTGATTGATAGAGCTTACTCAGTGCTTTTAAAAGAAAAATTCTTACATAAAAAGAGCTAAGCACATTATTGGGTAAAGAAGTTAAGGGAAGGGACGGGAGGAAGGGAAGTTATACACTGCGACACTCTTAATATGGTTAAAAATAAAGTATTATCGATTTTGTTATTATTTAAATAATAAAATTAAAAAAATAAATAAAATATTATTATTTTTACATAAAACATCAATATTTTTTGACATTTCCGTTAAAATATTCAATAATGACAAAATCGGTAGAAAAAAATAATAAAACCGATAACGCTTTACCAAATTCGATAAAACGTCCAATAATAACAAAACTGATAGAAATAATAATGTTTCTAGTAATTTTTTACGTATTTTACTATTTAAATAATAACAAAACCGAAAACACATTTTTTAATCATATATTAAGACTGCCGCACGTGATTATTTTTCATAAAGAAAAATGGCATGAAAGAGATAACAAAGGGATGTGTCTTTGAATAAAGCGGATCGGGGAGTGAGCTAGAGCAATCAGTCTTCTTATAAATTTAAAATTATAATATAATTTAGATTTTTATATAATTTTTTTATTCGTGAAATTTTATAAATTAAGTTCATTTTCCTTAATATAAAATCTTAGGTATAACTTGTGAGGAGACATTACTAAAGAGAAAACAACTGAATCTTCAGAATACCCTGTCCATAGCCGACATATAGAATTTCCCCTGTCTATTATTTTTTTATTTATTATCCTTTTCCCAACAATGCACATTGGAATACAAATGTGCATGTTCAAATAATATGTATTTATATATATATAACTATTAGTTGATCTACCGAACAATATATGTATATATATATATATATGTAGACAGTTATTTTCGTCTATTTTTTATTACATATATGTCTATATATATGTCTATATATTATATAGTTTACAAATGGTTTTTTGAAAAAATATATATAATATATAGTTTTGAAAACATGTTCGAAAACATTTATATATTATATAATTTTTTTAAACATTTTGAAAATAATTATAATATATAGTTTTTAAAATATTTTTAAAAATATATATATTATATATTTTTTAAAACGTTTTGAAAATTTTATAGTTTTTAAAAAAAAGTTTGAAAACATATATATTATATAGTTTTGAAATCATTTTGAAAACTTATATAATATATAGTTTTAAAAACATTTTTTAAAACTACATAATTTTGAAAACATTTTTAAAAAATTATAATATATATACTTTTAAAATAATTTTGAAAATATATATTATATAGATTTTTAGAAAATAGTTATATATATATATATATTATTTATTTATTTACTTTTTTATTTGTTATTATTATTATTATTAATTTCATTTTTTTTAGGGTCCAAGTCCAAGATATGTTTTGGGTCCAATGACAGTAGCAGTCCAACCGGAACAGACCTGAACCAGCTTAGTAAAGGATTAGGGTTTCACAGTCTCAGTCAGCGTCGCATGGAACAAACGGCCAACAGTCCGGCCGAGATCCCCGGGACTGCACTATCCCGAGTCCTCAGCTAACAACAACCGACCATCCCGATTTAGTCGGGAAACAGGGTGAAGGGCCCTGAAACAAACAGAGAACATGTAACACCCCCAACCTGTATCCGACCGGGATACGAGTCCGAAGTGTCACATTGACTTTTCAAACATTTATTCGTATAAAATAGTGAGTAATTTAAAAACTTTTATAACATTTAACTTATTCAAAACGTTTACAAAATATATCAGAGTTCATACAATTTATATCTTTAGACTACATGCCAACTACACCCTATATACAGTACATATATTTTCTGATCTGGCATTTGGTAAGGAGAACTGACCTGTCTTGCTCCGCATTACTCTTTACTCTTCTCGAAATCTACGTGTGAAACAATCACACGCTAAGTCGTTGACTTAGTGAGGCATATAAAACATATAATATTTCATATAACATAAATCATACATAAACATATACCATCATTATCATTAAGAAACACACATAACATCATATGGTTCATGTAACACATTTCAAACCACTTACCTTTGATAACCATTTATAAACCCATCGTATACATATCACATTCAATATGTTTGTTTGATCTCTTTATTAGCCAATGTACACTATTGAGAACTTAAGGTATGTGAGTACATTGAGGTTGTGCACTAATGCTGTCACCACAGCTCGTATCAATTCCCTCATGGGGCACCGAACCTTAGTTCAGTATTCGTCCCGAATGACCAGTCCATAGATTCTGAAGAACCTAGGTAAACAGTCCATATGTCCCGAAGAACATAGGTAAACAGTCCATATGTCCCGAAGAACATAGGTAAACAGTCCATATGTCCCGAAGAACATAGGTAAACAGTCCATATGTCCCGAAGAACATAGGTAAACAGTCCATATGTCCCGAAGAACATAGGTAAACCCTCGACCCTTGGCATGCCAACTATACCACTAGCTCTCTTATCACATAACATGGACATTAACATTCATAACAGTTCAATTTACTTATTCATATCCTTTTTCATATGAACATATATCTTTTCTTTTCAGTCACGTACCAAATGTACGTGTAATCATTGATCTTATAATCACATGTTCATTCTCTTCGGTCACATACCATATGTATGTGTAAACATATATCTAATATCATATAACACGCATCACAAATGCATGTATTCACATAAATCATTTCTTATAGCTTTATTCATATCACATATTCATATAAGCTCATATCTTATTTCACATATACTTTCCATATAACTTATATATCTCATAATCACACAAATCATAACATTGATCACCAATCAAATAACATTTTAGGAGTTACTTCTTACCATAGTAACTCCATCACTGGCTCATTGCAAGCCAAATGTTTATTCAATAATATAAGTACAAATAAAATTGCACTCACCTTAGCTTTGCTTTGATTCGATTCTAATCCTTCAGTTGATTCAGAACAGGACCACGTTCTATATCTACATAATCATACATAGATCTATATCAGTATCATAACTAATATACTCTAATGGTTCACTCTTTAGACCAAGAGAAAAGTCAATTTCATCTTTTAATGAAGGTATGCATCGATGCACTACTGATGCATCTGTGCATAAAATGCATTCGATGTTGTATTATTGCTGAGATGCATCGATGCACTCCTTATGCATCGATGCACCAATTGCATTCGATGTTTCATTATTAATGGGATGCATCGATGCACTACTTATGCATCGATGCATGAATTGCATTCGATGTATTTATTTTAAAAGAGTGCATCGATGCACTACCAATGCATCGATACACCTTCAAACAAATTTCTGGGTTTTAACCTTGATGCATCGATGCACAATGAATATGCATCGATGCACTCTGCCCATAATCCTCTTTTTGAACCCAAAAATCATTTATTTTGGATTAAATCCTTCATGTTTAATCCCCTCTTTCACTCTTAACTCTAGTATACATCCTTAAACCAATCTATATTCATTTATTTCATCTTAAACCTCAAAATCCTATCTTCCATATGTAATTTAATAATTACATCAATTTTACAACATGTTTCAAATCTAATTCTATTACTTCATATCTCTTACTTAGATTGATAACAAGTCAAATCCAACTTTCAATTCTTGTTATGAACTCTATTCTAATATTTCATTCAAGAACCTCTAAT